TTGGTGCCTCTGGCTGGGATCCTGAAATGGGTCGCTCTCTCGGGGATGAGTAAGTCTTTCTTGTTGACTTCCCAGGCCTTAGTTGGGAGGGGGAAAGAAATCCAGGACAGGGATAGGGTTGCCGCAACCAGCTGTAAGGAATAATTGGCCACTTTGCTCACTCAATTCACTCGCTAGTCTCAGACTCGTGGCGGAGGGGCATCGGAGAGCGTGCAATACAAGTAGGTACAATAATCGGTTATAATGGCTCGATTGGTTCGCATCAGTCCTTCTGGATGACTTGCTTCGCGTGGCCAGTGGCCACCAAAACCGTAAATTCTGGGTGGTCCTGGGATTGTGGAGGAGGTAGTAATCCGAGTCGTCGCCGTCGAAAAAGGTTCGACTCGTGATGTAAAATTCTTTTTGTGGAGAGGATGGTTTTCTTGGAGGGGAAAGACCATGCGCACAGTTCCGTCATCCACCGTTTGATACGGTGCGAATCAGTGCGAATTGGCAAGGGGAGCCGTCAATCAAGGCCAGTCCAGGCTCAAAGGGAGCCAGCTGAATAGGGGTGGGCAGGGTGTGTGCTGCGTAAGATGGGTGCTTGTGAGCTGGGAGATGATCAGGGCGTGAATACGAGGTCTGTTGGTAGAGAGAGTGGCCCTCGGTTGATATTTGTGGCCAAAAGGATAGTCCATGCACAGAAACAGAAAAACCAGAGGCTGTAGCAACAGGAAAAGTAGTTGGAAGATCGATGCTTCGAATCTGCCGACAAACCAAGGTCTATCGAACCCTCTTATCTGTCGATCGGGCCGTTGCTTCTCGTCTCGATGCTGATGCTAGAGCGAGACAAAGCTTTTCCCCAAACTGCGAATCGCTGTACCAAGGGCCTTGCAATCAGAGTTGAACCCGGTCTCTTTGCTGGACCAGCATCCTAGTAGATGCTGACTCGTGGCTCCAGGTGTTGGACAAGACCCTAATACCAGGCGAGCTACCCTCCCTCAACCCTTACTTGTAGACACAAGTAGATTTTCGTAATTCGGGGAGCGGCCCCTCCAGGAAGCATGCAGCCATCATGCAATGCGCAAGGGAAAGTCGAAGGGAGACTAGAGGACGCCTATGTAAGGCGCCGTCGATGCAGGCGTAAGTGCAGTACCATCCCATGCACGATGCACATCCCCCTTTCTTTGGAGCGGCGTGAGCGGCCAACCATCCAGCTGAGATGACGGACCGTTTGTCTTGTTCCCAACAAGTTCTTTCGACGTATTGCCTAGTATTTTACAGAGTCGATACGTCCTTGGGCGTAACATGCCGTACTTCCGCCCAGAAATGCCCGTAAATGTTTTATACATAATAATGGTAGGCCAGACTTACCTCTCCAGTTGCACGCTCCATGTCCACGTCCTTGTCTGTCCAAAAGGGTACCTGACTCGCCATAGCTCCGAGAGAGTCCCTTTGAACGTGGGATTTTTGATCGAGGTCAGGGATCGGAGGGAAAGGGATTCCCAACAGTGGTGACAAACTTTCGTCTCGTATCCGCGGCGTGGGCAGCATCGAAGATTCCGTCTGCCGTGCAACATCAAAAGCAATGTGCAAGAATATGACAGCGCCCTAGAGGATGCAGCTTCCAGGGATTTGCATCCCCCTCAGATCCTAGTCGACTTTTTTTATCCGGTTCGCTGCTTTCCGCTGCCTTGCCCCGTCAATTGTTTGCTCCAAGCAGTTCTCGGGTGACACCAAACCCGTGACGGTATTTCTTAAACCATCGTGTGGTATCGAGGTCGACGCTTGGGTTTGTCCTGAGCCAGTGTTGACAGATTCCCGGCACGCCATCATGGCTAGAGTAAAGGACCCTCCCAGACGGTGTGAGAGTGCATCTCGATTCCTTTTTCGAGAAAGCGGTGTGGTTGACGGCGTTATCCACCACTTGAGTCTCTCCATCCAAAATCAAAAATTGATCTTGGGAGGATTTGTGTGCAGCAACTAGATGATGCAGCTCTCTGTCATCTGACCTCGTCCAGGCTGTGTATTGCTGCATGATGCAGCACTAGCGACAGGTTGGGCATGTGCTAAATGGTTGATCTGGCAATAATGTGTCGCTGAAGCCTGTTCCCTTGCCGCAGTGGTCCGGGCCTTAACTTGTACATTCTGGCCTCGATTGTGCATTTGACGGGGGCACCCGCCATTGCAATAGTGTAGCTAGGGTAACTCCCGTAGCGGTGGTGCTTAACGTAAGGGCGAATAAGGGGTCTAGCATACTGCGACCAACTTTCTCGGTCAGGCTCATCATTCGATGTGGGTGACCAAGACTACACCGGTTGAGCTGCAAAGTGTAAGCTCGCGGAACCGTGTCCTGCTGCTCACCTCGCTTGGTATCTAGCGAAGCCGTGAAAACAATATCCTGCAGGCTCAACTCTTTTCCCTTGTGTCCATGACTTCAATGGAATAGTGCGACCAACTATTTGGTGGTGACGTAGTACCAGAAAAGGACCGTTGAGGGACTAGTCCTTCCCCAGGTCGTGAAGCAGGCCTGTGGAGAGAGATCCAGAAGTCAGACAAAGGGACCTTAGCGTCCAAGATTGGTGGCCGGTGTGCGCGGAAGGACTGCGCTGAAGTGGTAACGGAGGGCGCCCAATACCGAGTGAATCGTAATGCGCGACAGGGGCCCTCGACGCCCCAAAGGCGAAGGGCGAGGGGCAAAAGGCGAAAGCCACCAGGCTCGGCTCTGCCCTAGGGGCCGCCCTTGCTCAAAGCCTCCCAATTTCTTTCCTCTGCTACAGATCATGCAATGTTCGGATCGACGCCGCAGGCCTGCTTATCTTCCTGCAAATAAATTCTCCATTTGTCCTGCTGGGGGGACGATACCGTCCGAATGTAGGAGTAGACTATGTACCGAGTATGCGTCGACCTTGTCGCACCACAATTCCGCCTGCGCCCAGAGTTGTTTCTTAGTTGGAGACATGATCAAATAAATCTTTCAGTGCTCGAACCCGGAGGTCCCACAAGCTTGCAATGTCATTACCGAAGCAAAAGGTGGGTTTATAGGAGGGAGTTGAGTTGCTTGTCGCCTTAGAGGGAATACACAGGAAGTGGTAAAGAGGACACTGGAGACATGTCTAGAAGGCTTCCCTCTCAGGACTTCCCGTCCAAGGTTGTGTGGGTGCCTGTTCTAAGCCAGCAAACGACCTTGTGACACCATGGAGAGTTGTCAGAGCCGACCTTCGCTACAAAACCGAGCATCCCGGGAGTGCAACCGATAGGGGAAGGAAGGGGAAAGAACTCAATAAGAAAGTGGTTTATGGCGTCCGGTTGGGAATTGGTCAATCAACGGGGATGGATCCCGCAGACCAGCTTGCTCACGGCTTCGCACATTTTCAGCTCCCAAAGTCGATAGATCGTCCTGCAAGAACTGCGGCCGCTCCCTCGGTGGTGTAACCGACGTGCTGGAAGCGAACGGAGGACGCAGGGAGAGGTGCACCCTGCTAGGGTAGAGCGAAACTTGCTGTAGCCGAGCAATCGGAACGCATTTGCAGACGGGCCGCCATCGACCCTCACCATCGTGCCAACATTGTAGACAAACCAGATTGCGAGCGGCGCAGGGCGTGTGCCCGCCTGACCCATCGAGCCACGACGGACGAGGACCCCCAGACAGTCAAACCATCCTCGTTCCACGTAAAGAGTCGACCACCCCGGCCTGACACGGTCAATTTCGCTTTCGTTTCCTTCTCTTGCCCATTTTAGTGGTGTCATTCATGTCTTTTTTTCTTGCCCTTGATCCTTTCGCACACGGAATCTCGCGGAGAGAGGTGGCAAGCAGTAGAGGTTGTTGAATCACCTTGCTGCAATCAATACGTAAGCTTTGAACACCAGTGTAAGGGGAGATCGCTGAAAGAGTCAGGATACCGAAATCTTGATACTTCATCCGAGAAAGTCACCAATATTGATCTCGTTGACAGAGTCGCGGACCGAGTAACAGTGGGAGGCAGATTGAGAGGCTGAAGGTTTGCTGGCTCATGGTATTCTTGGTACGTTGTGTATCCGTCTTGTACGCGTCTGGTATCCGTTTGAATGGTCTCGTGTTCGGTCTGACAGACTGACATTTGGAAGCTCAAAGACCCTTCTCACATGACTTTGGCTTGACGCAGCGGCTCGGCTCTTTGACACCGGCGCAAAAAAGAGATGGAGTCGGTCGCCTGCTACTGGCACTCCTGGTCCACCCTCTCGAATAGCCCACCGCCATTTCGCCTTGTGATGGTCAGAAAATTACTCAGTACCTACAACGTACCGAGTACGAGGTTCTTTTCCACTCACCCACACTCGGTTTGTGCCAGGGGAGCCTGCAGTAATTTCTCTTCTTGTCGTTGATCTGGCCCAACGCCTCCCCGTCACCAGTCCCCGCTCCGTCGAACCATGACTGGCTGTTCCCACAGGTGAAAAAGTGGACCGCTCAGCTGAACTTGGAACACCTGAGACAAAACAAATGGCACCATGTCCGATACGGAAAGCATCGAAATAATATACTCGAAGACTAAGTCACCAGTCACTCCATTGCCACGTCACAGTGACCGCCACCACCACGTTTTGCGCCAATGTGCCTCGTACAAGGCAAGCTGTCATTCATGGGTTTTTGCTTGGACAGTGTCACTATTGATCCGAAGTGACAGCGCTCCAGATGAAATCACAAACTGGACTCGCATTTGAGACCCAGACTATCCAATGATAGTTACCCACGACATTATTGGTCCATTGACTTCAAATGCTGGTCACTTTGGTGTACGTGGTGCTCTTTGTATGAAAGAGGGAGAAAGAGATGTGGGATGTCACAAAGGAACCACGGATGGAACAAAAACAGAATGAATTGATGTCACAGGGCGTCCAAGATCTCCAGAGGTCTCTCCATACATCAACATTGCTGTGAACCAGGCAAAGTCCGGAGTACCAGGTTCTTACCGCCACCAAACCTTTGTTTGAAAGACTGTGGCAAGAACTCGTCCCAGCACTCTCCCTGCTGACTTGTCTCCTCAGCCGGTTGCCTCATCGCTACTAGAATCGTCATCATCTGGCATCACGACACTATTGAGGTATGTGACCTATTGTGCGGGAAGTCAGTAAAGGGTCTTCGCAGCAGTGTTTCTGGTCAGAGTTTGTATCTAACGGCATAGGTGGGGAGCAACTCAAGTCCACCTGGGTACCGCCTGGGCTCACGGCGGCCCGGTCATCTCGCCATGCTCGCTGATGTTTCGAGGTGGACGTGATGATTGGACACCCAAAACAATTGCAAAGTCTACGCATAAGCTTTGTCCAGTCGCAGCCCCAGTCTTATCAGAATTCTTTGTGGTAGCACCCGGCAGGTGGTCCAGGCTCACAATGCGCACGAATGGGCACGAATGGGAGGCAAAGAGGTGGACTCACAAAGGGAACCATGGGACGAATTAACTCGAGAATGGTCTGAAGTCCCTGCTCCCCGACCACCTTTTCGTCGGGAATTCGCTTTCCAAGAGTGAAACAGCGCAGCCGAAGGAGATCGATATTCGGGTTGTCTGCGTCGTAGCCCTGTCAAAACAAAGCGTCAGCCCAGTCTAGATCATGCAACGTTCAGTACAGACGACCTGTACTCGATGCTCAAGTGCATTCTGTTCGCGAGGAACTCCTTGGGCAACGAGGAATGCTGCAGTGGTGATGAGAACTGCGCCGGCTGCCGCCAACAGGGGAGGCCCCGGAGAATATGGGCTTCCAGGAGGGGCAGTTGTAGGTCTTTCGCTCCAAAGCCCGGCAGCTCCCTGTCTTAGTCCCCTTGGGTTCCAATTGTGTCTGCAACGCGTGTTCATTTGTCAAGTCTGTGCGCACATGCATCAATGGCCTCTGCTGCGCGAGAGACCTGATGGCTGCATGTCACCTCCCTAAGGTCCTAGCTCCTTGCAGTCGAGAGACCGAGCCGAGGGCTTCAGGGGTTTTCAGGTCTGGTGCAGACACATCAAGCAAATTATGCTGTTGAGTTGAGGGACAGTCACGCAAGCAGGTGCCTCCGCTCTACAATTTTGTCCTCTTTGCACGTCTGGCCTTTCATCCTAGAGGGATTTGCTGGCAAGTTCCTTTAGTTGCCAGATTCTGATGTGGCTAACTTCGGAGCAGCGAGAACATGTCTTCACGAGTCGTTGTCCTCCCCTCGTCCGTGTGCGCAGGCAGAGAGTGTTTTTTTTTTTTTTTTCAACAAAAAGAGAGGATGAAACACATACCTTCGGTTTCGTTTTCAGCGCATTTTCCTTGTTATGATCAGCAAATGCCTTGACCGCCTTCTTCTCGTCGTTCGACGCGACGCCCAAGATCTGCTTCCGCAACTGAGGCTCTGTGAGGACTCTTCTCAGTTTCTCCGGCTTGCGATCGATGTTCGCTCTCAGGAGGGCCAAGGGCTGGGACTCCGGCATCCACAGCCCAGAACCTGTCACGTTCAATGCTTAGCGGGGAACTTGACGATGGATGAATGTCATACCAACGATGCTTTTGCCTCCAGGCTCAATATGCACATAATAGCACGCATAAGGTCCTTTACGACCAGTCCGAGACCTAGCGGCAGTTAGTACAGGACATCAACGAGGGAACTCAGGGCTTTTACCATGCTGCAGAGAAATGAGGCTTTGAGATGTGTGAGTAACATGCATTTCAACCTCGACAAGCAGCTCGGGGGGGAACATACTTTGTAAGGAGTCGGGTCAGAAGAGAATCGAATGTCGCGGTAGATCCTGAAGACCTGATATCAGGTAGATTAGCGAGAGTCGTAGCAAAGTGGTTTCTCTCGCACATACCACATCCTTTGGCGGTAACTCTGGGATTGTTTCGTCAATCTCTGTGAGTCTCTCGGTCAATGCTTCTACAAATCCTTCCCAGTCTTTCCAGGAGGCCCTATAATCAACGTCGTGCACTGTCCCCAACCAATGTCAGTATTGGCGACGTTAGATATGGTCCCAACACTCGGTAAAGTGCCAGAAACATGCATGAATCACCTAAGGGAGCACACGACCTACTCTTCAGCCATTCTCTGTCATTATTCTCCTTCAAATCTTTCAAGAAAGCCATGGTATTCGGATGGATCTTCTCAGCAGCATACTTGATCCCCCCATCACCCCTGGGTTTCGGTTTCTCAATGAAGACCTGCTTGCCTGGACCCAGACCCGTCTTCACTCCAGGTCTCCAGAGCTCCTTGCCTTTTTCTAGCACGGCATTAGCCACAGCCTGGATGCCGCCAGTGAGCCCACCCCCAGACTTGACGGTCTTCTTTTTCGGCTTTCTCCTTTTGTGCTCCTCGTCAGACTCGTAATCGTCTTCTGTGTCAGGCTCCTCGGTCGAGGGTTGATCTGTTTCCGATGCCTCTTGGTCTTCATATCCCGACTCTTCGCTCTCATCCTCCTTGATATCGACATCCTCATCCTCGCTGTCGGGCTCTTGAAAGTACTTGCTCTTCGTGGGGGTGGTCTTGCCGCGACGTTGATCCTTCTCGGCAGACTCCTTCAATCTCTTCGATACCCTGCTTCCCGGCGAGATCGAGGGTGTGACTTGTGACAATTGGCGTTTGTGTGATTTTTTGGAGGCAGGGGTCGCCCTTTTCGAAGCTGCCGATTTTCGAGCTGGCATTGCTAACGGGACTCGTGAAGACCGTACAAATCCAGCAACGAAGGAATATTCTGATGTGGCAGCGCAAAATATCCAAGACAATATCCGTTATTGATCTCCCAAGGTACTTGAGCTGTTGACAGACCTTTGATCGTCGTTGATGCCTGCCACCGCCTCACCACTTAAAACTCGCCGCGGAACGCGTTGGCTTGGAGAAAGCGTGTCGACTATTGCGTCATCAAGGTTCAATGCCTGCACCACCTGGACACTAATTATCTTGACTGCGATTGCTCCCCTCTATCTTTCTGTCTTGGTACCAGCAATCTTTCTACTATTGTGATTGTCCGTCACATGTCAGGGCTTGCGGACGTCAGTATCTCAGGGTTTGCGCTTCCTGTCGGCAGCTTGCCCTCTTCTCACGATCTCGCACAGTCCGTGACGCTAACAAGTACGTACCCACGGCATCACGCAGATATGTCTCCGTGATCAGGGAAACTCTCCGGCCCATCTCAGCTTCAGCCTTGTGTGCTTTGTTCCACCCTCGGATACATTTTCTGGACAACTGGAGGGGTATAATTACATCGTGGGTGCGCTGCGTTGTCTGAAGTCAAGTGCTCTACCAATCTATATTCCTAGTAGAGGAAATTTTTACAAGCTGAACTCATCGTTACAATGGCTGAAACCTCAGACCATCATCACCATCACCATCACGAGGCTCCTGATGGAGATGAAAGTCATCGTCCTGACAATGAGGCGTTCACCGAAGCAAATCGCGCACATTGGAAGTACGTCAATGAGACTGTCTCTCTATCCTGCACCACTTCATCACTTAGATGATATACGTTGTATTACGGGATATGTCGAACCACAGAGATACGGCTAACAAGATCGCTCAACAGTAACTTCGCCTCGCGATACACATCGGAGGAATGGCAACGAGGTCTTCTCAACAAGGTAACCGCATTCATCCACCAGCATGTAAATTGGATCGGCGTGGACTTCATCGACCCTTCAGCTACGTTCGAGACCCAATCACCGTCCTCCGCTAAACGACAGGTACGCGTTTTGGACTATGCATGTGGACCGGGAACCATCACACATGCTCTCGGCGCCCGTGCCACGGAATACGTTGGCATCGATCTGAGTGAAAACATGGTGAAGGCTTACAACATGCGTTTCAATCCTGACCCCACAAACACTGGCAATACCTCATCATCGGTGGATGGTTCGGCCGGGCTGGACGACAGGCTCGACGAAAACTTGACAGCCCACGCCGTGGTCGGCAATCTTCTTGACCCGAAGGACCCTCGCCCTTCGCACCTAGCTTCGCCTGAATTCTTCGACTTCGACCTCGTGGCTGTAGGCCTGGGATATCACCATTTCCAAGACATTCAACTAGCCACAAAACGGCTCGTTGAACGGTTGCGGCCAGGAGGCGTGTTTTTAATTTTGGACTTCGTCACCCACGCCATGGAGGAGAGCTCGGATGCCACGAAGCAGCCTGTCATGCACACGGTGGCCCATGCCGGGTTCAGCGAGGAGGAATTGAGGAGCTACTTCGAGGTTGCCGGATTGACGGATTTCGGGATTGTAAGGATGGATGGTGAAGTATTGATTCGGGGGGAAGTGAAGAGGAGGCCGTTCCTTGCTAGAGGCCGAAAGGCTCAGCTGTAGATGTGCCCATGTGGTACAGTCCAAGAGCCGGAAGAAGAGGTAGTAGAAAGTGCTTTTTTCAATCAAGGCCCAGTATTGAGAGATCCTGATCCAGCTCCTCCACCTCGACCTCATTTCGATACCTTGTCGTGCTGTTCGTCGTGTCCTTTTCGTTCTTGATCCTCTGCTTCTCGAGCCCTTCTTGTCTCTTCCGCCTCCTCCGCTGTTCCTTGTCTTCCCACTCTGGCTGGGTCTTGTTCTCACGAGTTGCATCGGGACTCGATCCCTCCCTGCCCATCGTCCTCTTCAGCTCGCGTCGAAACCGTTCCCTGCGCTCGACATTCCACGCGAATCGCTCGTTGACCACCGCGGCGCACAGGGCGAGGTACTCCTCGCCGACGACCCTGTGCATAATCGCCTCGGTTTGGCCCGCGGGTTGAGCCATGTCAATTCCCACACCGCCGGGATCCTCACCGCCCGCTGGAGACGTGACCGTCTCCTGCCGAGGTGTTTGGGCATCAACAGCAACACCTACGACCGTCTCAAAAGCCAGCCCGGCCGTCCTCACGGCAACCATGACGCCGTGTTCGGCGTCGTCCAGAGCGCGCAGACTCTGCACCCCGCTCTCCCGGAACCCCGAGTTCACCGCCGCCGCCAGCACATGGCGGGCATGCCGGAGCGTCGCGCAGTGGACGTGCAGGATCAGCGGCGAGAATGTCAGGTGGATCAGCTGGGGCGGTTGGTCCGGAGGGGACAGGAGGGATAGGGTCAGGGATGGTGATGGTCGAGATACCAGAGGGGGAGATGATGCTGGGAAAGAAGACGGCGGTGAGCGTGACGGGCTACCCAGGTGGAAGAGGTTGGAAAAGTATTCTTGCTTCGGCTCGTTTGCTGCTGGGTTCGCTGCTTCATCCGTGCTCTGGACGACGTCGGCAGGGATGGTTGCGGTGGCAGTGGCAGTGGCAGTGGCATTGGCGATCCGTATAGGAGGGACAGGGATAGGGATAGGATCATGCGAGACATAAAGCCAGCGTCCTCCGCCTTTGCCTCCTGGAGACGTTGAGGTCGTGGTCGTCGTTGTCTTCTCCCTTCCTACCTTACCGCTTACCTCCACGCTCAGACTTTCTCCCACTCCTCCTCCCCCTTCTTCTCGTGCTGCCTCACGTCCTCCGCCTCGCTGCCCATCCTGCACCGCCAACGTCTCTACCTCGTCCTCATCATGCCCGCCATCTTGGCGGTCATCGCCACGCCCTTTGACCCTCGGCCCCTCGACAAACACGGCAACCCTGCCCGCGCAACTACTCGTCGTCACGAGCCCCTCGTACCGATTGATCTCGTCGATCAGGTCGCGGATCTGCGCGTCCACCGTGCCCTTGGGCGAATTGTCCGAGTACGCACCCTCGGGTTGGTCGAGGTCTGCGAGGATCCGCGACTTTTTGGCCGCAAAGGTTGCGGGCACGGACGGGTGTTGCGCAGCCGATGGAGTGCCGGCAACATCACCACCACCACCACCACCACTATCACCGTGTGGCATTGGTAGAGGCGTGTTGTTTAATCTAGCCGATATAGAATTGGAGGGTTGGAGTATCGGACGTGTGCATATGTAAATATCCAAAATTTATTTATGTTGGAGAAAAGTATTTCATCACAGTCATTGGCTGGTTTGCTAGACTCAAAGAACTCACCGAGAGAAGCATGAGTTCTGTTGTGGAAGATATTTGTTATTCATTGTCACATTTCTTCCAGTAGAGTTTTCCTTCACTCGATCCCTATGTTGTCTAGAATACTAATCTGTCTATGCAGATCTATTTCTATTTCTTTCTCGCTGTGGGCTGTCTCAAAACAGAATCAACCATTGCTTCCCGCTATAATTGGACAAACCAAAAAATCGAAGAACTACCAGCCCAAGGTCGGATCTGACCTAACGAACCCAGCCATCTACGCGACTGGAGCTGCGACAGCGGCCGTCGCTTCCTCCTTGTTCGGCACTGTAGCTGGCTGAGTAAAAGTTTCTGGCCACAGGAAAGCCTTCTCTTCTTTGCGCGGACTGAGAGCTGCGAACACAGGCACAGCGGCCCGGCTACTGACCCTTCTCCACATGTTGGCGCGAGGGTTGAAGTTGGAGGGCAGACCCTTGCCATGTGTCTTCTCGTCATCAACTTTGGCAATCTTGATGACTTCCCTTTGAATGTCGGCAAATGTGTCGAAAGGAATGTACGAGAGGCCGTGCTCATTGCAATACTCCTCCAACTTCAATCCTCGGCGAGCGAAAAGTACGTCGGCTTCACGCGCTGCTGGTAAATCTGAGACGCCGTCACCAATAAAAACAATCATTGGTATTGTGCCGTTGTCGCTCTCTATCTGTGCTGCTGCCCGATACTCGTTTATTGATCGGGCTTTGTCGTGACCAAGGTCGGTGTCATGTCTCCAGACAGCTTCCCATTTGCTGCCATCATGGGCAATTTTGGCATCGTTGGCCACAATTTCAATGTGTTTGCTCATTTGCTCGCCAATGAAGTGGTCAAGGACTTTGCGTAAGACAGGCTTGAGTCCGGCTGAGATGACATTAAAAGGAATGTTGTTGTTGACGCAGAACTCGTGGAAGGTTTCAAAGTCTGGGTCAATGTCCAGGGCGGTCTTCATGACCTCGAAGCCGTCCTCGAACGGAACATCCAGTGAGGCATAGAGCTCGTCTGAGACCTCGCGAAAGCTGCGTTCTCCTGACTCTAGCTGCTGCGCCAAGATCTTCCTTTTTTCTGGACCGCAACCAAAGTTATCAAAAAGAGTATGGCCGGTATCTTGCATGAAAATGGTGCCGTCAAAGTCTGACATGGGTTGTTAGATGGAGCCGAGTTCTTTAATACGGACAGGCATACCTGAGAAGCAGATGATCTTTCGCTTCGTGCCCATGTTGGCAGTGTTGGCGCGATGCATACCAGGTCGCCCGAGCTTGGGTTCGACTGGTGGGGGAGTGATAGCAGCGGGTGCCATGATTATCCGATTTTGAGATTGGATGGGTTTGCACACTTGGACGAGTTAATAGGCGAGGGAGGTGGTCTAAAGGTGTCAATAGTCTCCCTTATATCTGCCTAGCTGAGAAGCTTTCATGATACTCAAAAGAAGGTATACGTAGGAGGCGCTGATGACTACAGAGACACCAACTCTCACCGTAAGGACCTGAATATAGATGTCATCCAGTGGGAGTCTCTGTTTCAGTAACCTGGTGACCGGCACGACCTTGGCACCCTCTGCACGGCATGCAAGGGTTGGCTGTAGAGACGCGACAGATGTATGTTGACGCCATCATCAAGTGGACAACGCTATGTGAGTGGCCAAAGGGAGTGTTGTGGGTACTGAGAAAGACCTAA